TCCGCCACGATGTAGTGCGCAGGCACGTATCCACCCCGGTGCGGCGCGCCGGTCGGCGCCCACTGCGCGTACAGCAGGCAGTGACGCGCCGAGAGCCGCGTGAGCGTCTCGAAGGCGGCGGCGTTTGGACGTCGCCACACGGCGCGCCCGGCAAGCGTCCTCTGGGTCGACCAGTACCGCCCGCGCGAGGCGCCGACGACGAGCGCGCCGAACGGCCCATAAGCAGCGCACGAGAGCTCGAGGCAGCGACGCGCCGCACCGAGCGTCGGGTCGGTCCTCCGCGCGCTCGAGCTCGTAGAGCCAACGAGGCGGCCGAGAGGTCGCGGAACGCGCGCCGCCTGCCGCGCCTCGAGTTTCGGCTGCAGCCGCAGCAGCCGCTGCAGGCCGAGCAGGACCACCGGAGGCGGCTCTCCGCCGAGGCCGAGCATGCGGCCGTGGGCGCGAAGCAGCTTCACGAGCGCGATAAACTCGCTGAGTGGCGAGGACGACGACGGCGTTTCCAGCTCCGCGGCGAGGGAAGATGTTGTGGGTCTCTTCTGCAGCGGGAAGACTCCCATGTGTGATGGAGAGGGCAGCTGGGTTCGGCTGAAGAGCCGTCACCTCACGGGGGGTCACCCCCGGGGGACGCCCCGCCGCCCCTCCGGCTCCGCGCACCACCCCCTACCCCTACCCCGAGGTGCCTCCAGAAGCTGTAACGGTAGCGTACGGTCCGTCCAGCGTCACCTCACGCCGCCCCTGCGCGCCCGCCGCCCCGCGTCTCATGCATGTTCCGCCGTCGGTCGTTGCGGATGCGGGCCGAGGACCAGCTCAGAGCCCTAACGCGGGCGGGAATGGCTGGGGCGTGGGGGGGGCACCCCCTACCCCCCTACCCCTGCGGCGGCAGAGCCGCCGGGCCCCCACCCCCTACCCCCCTGTCCCAAATATCCCCGGACGCTACCCTGCGCGGCGTTGAGCCGGTGAAAGGCACGGCGGCATCCCAAACATAGAGAGAGATAACAAACAAGAAATCGCGACTCTCTTCAAACATGATGTGTCGAGCTGGCACCCATTTTGTTCATTCTTTCTTGGGGTGATGCTCCGATAAACCCGCCGGATCTTCGACAAAAGCAGGGACATTTCTTTTTTTGGAAGGGTAGGTGTGAATACAGCTTTCTGGTAGGGTTACATCGACGAACTATGCGGCAATCGACTGGGGGGCAGCCCCCCAGCACATCCCGCACAGAGACCTGGATGTAACCCGATTGTGAGCGTGAGTGAAACCGCCGATGCGATTGCTCATTGCTCAGTCAGTGACCGACAGTCAGTCGCAGCAGACTTTGACGATTGGCGGCCTCGCGCCCTCAGTCGCCCTCCTCTACTAACGGCCCTGCCCCAGCCCAGATGCCTCATCCAGGGTGGTGCAACCACTCGCGCAGGGAGGGAGAGACAGTCGGCGATCTGCGCCGCGCAGATGAGCTCCGCCTCGTCTGCGTCGAGGACGTCCACCGCAGGGCTATCATAGCGCCATATGACGCACTGCCTGTTGTTCATTACTTCGCAGGTGCCAACGTCGAGGCAATCTCACTGGTGGCGGCTGCACTCCCGGCCGGCGGTAGGAGAGATGAAGGCTAATGTACTTGGCAGTGTACGGGGACTTCCGGCGTGAACAGTGCCCCGGGACGAAAGAGGAGGCGACGTCTCTCTCGTCCACGAGCGCCTCGATGTGCGCATCGACGGTGTAACCAGCTTTGAGAGACGGGAACGAACGGCGGTGAATCGCCGACAGGTGCGCCTTCGTCGACGCCTTCGTTCCTACCACCACTCCCACCACCGCCAGCTCCGCCGTGGACCTTGCCGGGCCCTCTGATGATGTAGTACCGTGGAGCAGTTCGTCCGAGCCGTTGTTGTACTCTGCTGTGGCGCCAGCTCGGTGTACAATACGGACGAAGACGGCCACAGCAACGGTGTAACCAGCGCGAGCAGGCAGCGCGAACCGCTGTGCCTCGGCCGCCGAAATCCTCTCCGAGTTCTTTGGCATAGGGGAACCCCAACCCTAAATTTTCTTCGCCTGCGGCGGGCCATCACTTGGATTCGCTGCTTTCGGATTCATTAGCTCTTTCGCACGCCTTTATCCGTCACTCCCCCGAAGATTGGAGGTGTTGATTTATGCACAAATCTATGTGTTGCGAGCGCTAGATGGCGAAATTTTCTTCGCCTCCGGCGGGGCCGCTCGCCGCGGGGCTAGAGGGACTTTTGTCGATGTCGGCTAGAAGTGCTGCACCTTTTTGAGAATTTCACCCCTTGTCGAACAAATTCTTTTTCGGCTCCCGCCCGGGCCGCACCTGTGTTAGTGCCAGTGCGCGCCAGTCCCGGGCGCGGATTTTTTGAGAATAAATTCTTGAAGAAATTCTTTGTCAGTCTGCGCACCGTCCCTTACTTTTTGTTCTCTGGCCATGAAAGAAAGAAAGAAAGAAAACACACAACCCAAGGGAGGGATGGGAGGACGGCATCTCTGGCCATGAAATCAGAGGGTAAAACAGGGCGGAATTCTATAAATAAATAAATACAACGGACATCCCAAGCTAGGGCTGGGTCGAGGACAGACACGTCCCCACCTTTGCAGGATTTTGCAAAAGCGAGGGGGGAGGGCGCATCGCCGCGCGGAGAGGGCTGGGCACAGGGCACAGGGGATCTCTCTCGCATAGGATATGCACTCGGCGGCACGAGGGCAAGGCTGGGCGTCCTATGTTTGTGCTCCCCCCCCCCGCCGCCATCGCCGCCTCGAACTGCTCCCTCTTGCCGAGCGCGCCGCATACCCTGCGGAATTGTAAAATTCTTTTCACTGTCGGCGAACTGTGCGATGGTCGCAATCTTACTTCTGAGAGAGAGAGCCACTCCCTTCTGAGTCCCGTGCGCACGACGCAAAGCCACTATTATCGACGGCTGCTTGCTACCGTTTCAGAGAAGGCGACAATTTGATCCATGCTCCGAGTGGCCACGCGGACGTCGCCGGCTCCGGCCACGCTGCTTGCGCGATTGAACCTTCCGCGGCGGGGAAGGGTGGATGCCCTGCTGGACACGCTGCACAAGGTGCAGCCCGGCCTTGACAGGCTGCGTCGCAGCTTTGACGACCACATAGTCGGCCACTCGGACATCAAGGAGGCGTTCCTCCTCGCGCTGCTCGCCCGCGAACACCTCTACATCGAGGGTCCTCCCGGCGTGGCCAAGACGATGCTTTCCGAGATTGTGTCCAAGGCGACAGACTTGCGCCCCTTCATCTACCAGTGCCACCGAGACACGCGGCTCAACGAGCTCGTGGGCGAGAGCGTCATCGTGCGCTCCACCGACGCCGGCGGGCGCGAGACGATCCGGCAGGACGTCGTCCCGGGCGGGGTGCTCGCCTGCGAGCTGGCGGTCCTCGACGACATCTCCCGCGCGCCGGGCGAGGCGCTCAACGTGCTGCTCCGCGTGCTCAACGAGCGCCGCTGGGGCGGCGGCCCCAAGCTCCCGCTCCAGACCGCCATCGCGACGGGCAACCCGGTGGCGGACGACGGCTTCTACGGCGAC